TTCTTCCCTGAATGCCTGGTAGTATTCTCCTGTGAATCCATATAGTCCAGGGGATTTTTTTGTTGGTAATTCCTTGATAACCTTGTCTATTTCTCCTATTGCTATGGGTCTGTTGAGATTCTGAACATCCATCGGGGATAGTCTATGGAGGGATTGTTTTTCCAAGTTGTTGAATTCATTGGAGTACAGTCCTTTGTAGTACTGTGTAATTATCCTTTTGATTTCATTAAGGTCTGTCGTAATGTCCCCTTTCATCCCTCATCCTTGCTATCGAGATTTGTTCCCTTCTTTCTTTGGTTAGGTTTGCCAGCAGTCTGTCAATTGTTTATACTTTCAAAGAACCAACTTTTAGCAGCATTTTTTCCATAGTTTTCTTATTTTCCGTCTCCTGAATCTCAGCCCTGATTTTTAAAATTTCTTTTCTTTTGCTATTAGTACGATTGTCCTGTTGACACTGCTCTAGTTGTAAATTTTGTGCCAGCATATCAATCATAAGTCTCTCTTCATTTTTCATGTGTGCATGTATTGCTATGAAACTTCCTCTGATCACTGCTTTTGCTCTGCCCCATAAGTTTTGGTGTGTCGTGTTCTCATTATTGTTGGTTTCTAGAAATTTCCTAATTTCATCTCTGATCTGGACCAGTATGCACTCCTTTTTCAGTAGAGAGTTATTCATCCTCCAATTGTTTGCTCTTGTTTTCTCTATCTTCCTTTTGTTGATATCCAGCCTTATGGTACAGTAGTCAGAGAGAGAGGTCTGTATGATATCAATATGCTTAAATTTAGGTAGATTCGCCTTATGCCCCAGCATGTGGCCTATCTTCGAATATGTGCCATAAAAGAATGTGAATTTTTTGGTATTTGGATGAAAAGCGCTGTAAATATCTATCTTGTCAAATTGTAATGTGTAGATCTCTAACCTCCTTGTTGAGTTTCCCTGTGATCTATCTTTCTCAGAGAGCATTGTGTATTGAAGTCGCCTACTATAATTGTTGAGGCTGTATTTTTTTTTTCATCTTTTGAAGCGTTTGGTTGACGTATTCAGCGGGTCTCGTTTGGGGAATATATGTTTAAAATACTTAGTGGTTCTTTGTCTACTGTTCCCTTGAGCATTATATAGTGTCTCTCCTTACCTCTTTTTATAATTTTCACTTTCAGGTCAATTTTATCTGATTTTGTACTTTCAGGTCAATTGTATCTCCTTATCTCTTTTTTGATTTGCACTATCAGGTCAATTTTATTAGGATTGCAACCCCTGCTTTTTTTTTTAATTACTGTTTGCATGGTATGCCTTTCTCCAGTCTTTGATTCTCAGCCTATTTTTGTCTGTAGTCTTCTTGAGATGGGTCTCCTACAGGCAGCAGATCAATGGGTTGTGTTTTCTAAGCCTGTCTGCTAGCCTCAGTCTTTTAATGCCTGAGTTCAGTCCATTGATATTCAGGGTTATTATTTCTATCTGTGGACTCTGTGATGTGATCTTTATACCTTTTGTGTAGGGTGATTTTCTACCTCCCTTTTTTATCAGTGTGTTGTGGTGCGTGTGTGCGTGTTTTATTCTTGACTTCTTTCCACCCTTAAGCCAATGCTATCTTGGTGGCTGTTTTCTCTTTGTTGATCTTTGAGTGGGGTGGTTCTATGTGGCGGACTCTTATTTATGCTTAGTGAATGCTATTCTTCTGCCCATACTGGGTCAGCAAGGATATTTTGTAGGTCTGGGTTTCTTCTAACATATTCTTTTGAGTTTTGCCTTGTCTGGGAAGACTGACTTCTCCATCTATCATGATAGATAATTTGGCTGGGTAGCGTATTCTTGGGTTTGCATTATTTCCCTTCAATTTTTGTAATATGTTACTCCACTCTCTCCTCTTCTTCTTAGCGTCCACTGATAGGTCTGAGCATATTCATATTTGGGAGCCTTTATATGTGATGGCTAGTTTTTCCCTAGCCGCTCTCATGATTTTCTCTTTTTACTCAAAGTTGGATAGTTTAACTATTATGTGCCTTGGTGACTTCTTCTTGGGATTCAGTCTAGCTGGTGTTCTTTCAGCTTCTTGAATGATTGTCTGGTTTTCATTCATAAAGCTAGGGAAATTTTCCTTCAAGAATTCTCTCACTATTGTTACAGATGACTTCTTTGTTGTGTCTTCCTCAGGTAATCCAATTATTCTGATCTTGTTCCTCTTAGTATCAGACATAGCTCTTAGGTTTTCTTCAGCTTTTCTGATGATCTTATTAGATCTTTGTTCGCGTTTGTTAAAGTCTGCTTGGCTATCCACTAGGTCACTGGTGGGGTTCTCTGCCTCCTCCAGTTGATTGACGAAGTCCATGAGTCTGCTGCTGGGTTTTGTTATCTTGTCCCTACGCTCTTGTATTTCCCTTTGGTGTATGGACTTTATCTCCTCGATCATTTCATCCTTTTTCTGCATTGTTTTCCTCATATTCTGTATGATTCAAAGCAGCATTCTGAAAATTTCTTTGTGTGGCAGATCAATGTCTGCTTCTTCTACACACGTTAGGTTCAGGACAT